AGACCATGGTTTGGAGGAAGGAAAGATTTTTGAGAGCACAACCTGGCAGTCAGACAGCTGAATACTGATAGTGGATCTACAGCCAACTCACAAGCTAACCACTTGACTTCCCTGCCTTGGCATTCCTAACTTTCAGGCAGAGGTACTGCTAGTTGCTCACCACAAGAACGCTGTAAAAATTAATTAGCAAAATGGCTATAAAGCACTGAGGATAAAAAATATGTTAAGAGCTAAGCCTTATAATTAGTGTTATTTAATGCATCTTTAAAAATTATTTTTTTTTCTTTTCTTTTATAAAGGAATTACACAACGACTTTAAGAAATGACAAAGTAATTTGAAGTAAATGACTGCCCTGTAAAATTGAAACACACCCTAAAATGTGGTTATTATAAAATAACCACACACCCTGATAGTTAGCACTGCCTGAGCTGTGTATAACCTTAACCTACTGGTATATTATTAAGTGCAGTAGAATCAGCAATTATCAGAGGGAGAGAGATTGCTGATGCGTGTTAAATGCACATTACCTCTTTGGCATCAGCAGATTTGGTGCATCCATTGCTGGCAATGGAAAGCATGCTGGGCAAATTCAACTTGTGGCACAAAAGGATTAATTAGGGTACAGCTAATACAAGCAATGTTTAGACATGAATCAAGAAATTTAGGACACGGGGCTTATGGTGCACTGAATAAATGCCAACACCATAAAAGAAAGAAAGAAAGAAAGAAAAGACATTAACTAATTTTGTGTGCATGAGATGCAGAAAATTCTACCCCAGCTTCTGCTTAGCCGAGAATCACACGCTGGCAGGTTTCCTCTGAAATACTTCACATACTATACAGAATGTTTTCTTGTCCTTATACTGGTCCTCCCTCACTGTATTTAAGTGTATTTTCTGATTAAAAAGAGCTATTTGATGGCCAGAAACCCAACAGGTACCTGCTCTCAAATACTGCAGATCCTAAAGTCCTGCCTTCCTCATGCGCTACTCAAGGCTAGAAATTAAATGCATAAGCACAGATGACTTAGCTCTCTATTGCACGGTTAGCCTAAAGGAATGCTTATCAGAGGGTTAAAAGAAACAAAAAACATCAAGGACCATATAGCTCAGGAGACTGACATGGGACGTGGGAGCTGTGGCTTATCTCTGGGTAAGATTTGGGAAGCATGCACACAGCACTCTGCCGCACCGATGTACCTGGACTGTCGTGCTCAGGTCCCAGAAGCTGCAGAGTGCTGAGAGCAAACCTCTGCTAACTTTCTGCTTCATTAATTCATTTGCCTTTTTCTGAAAACAGAAGCAGCTGCATAGGTGCCTTCTACTCCACAGTGCACTGTTGCAAGCCTACACACTTTTGCCTGTATTTATCTGAGTTCCCTATCTGTGAATGACTGTGATAGCCTACTGTTCCAGGAAGCTTTCTGGAATAAAAATAAATTAAAAAAATATATCTTTTCCACATCTTTACTCTGAAACAATAACACATTTCATAAAAGATTCATAGAAATGCTAAGAGCAAGAGTTCTCCGAGTTTTGAAATAGCAGCAGACTGAAGACAACAAAAGGGAATTTGCTGAGTCCTGAATCCTGAGCGCAGCACAGACAGCAGAAACCATCTCCAACCTACAGAAACCCTCCAGTGTGAAAACCTCGTTCGTTAAGTCTACAGCATTCAACCAGTCACATACTGCAAGTTTTCCAGTATTTAATCATTCTCTTAAACTTCTCTTGGCTGTGCCCAAGAGCACCAGGGCTGGTCCCCCAGGGCTGTGACAGACGCAGTGCCTCTGCACTCTTTCATGGTGGGAGGTCTCCAAAATCAGTGGGTTTACACAAAATGTGTAAAAGTTTTCATCCTTAGCCATGATTTATTTTCAGGGAAATTAAAGCTCATATTCACATATTGGTTTTTCAATAAATGGCTTTAAATTATATTTAAATAATTCTCAATCTCTTCTTTAATTAATCACACTACGGACCAATTTCCTTCTCTTGTTCAGGAAGCTTGACTTTGCCAAGGTCCTAAGACCCACAACACAGCAAGGCTGAGAGTCCTCTTATTTTGATCCCTCCCCCATGTCTCTACAGGCCCTGATTTCTGGAGAAGTGAAAAATCAGCTCCTATAAGGCATCACACTTTAATCACTTCAGGTTAACGTGACATCCTAATGAAATCTCCCTTTCCATCTCACGATTTGCTCCGCTCAACCTGCCAATTCAATACTCTTATGGGATCGTTCATTGACCTTAAAGACTCCCATTACTTCCACCCCCTTTCTTCATTTTGAAGATCAAATTAATTTTGTTAGTGACAATTAAAATTTGCTTAAAACACTAAGCAGATATAATGTATTTATTGCCCTTGGAGAATCTCAATAAGCTGATCCACTGTATTCAAAGTTTCTCTTTAATTAAGAGCAACATTATGGTTTTAAAGGCTCATTTGGTTAGTTTTGAATTTGTTGCACTCGATACGCAATAATTAATAAAAACCAAAAAGGTTCACCAAGAGATAATGTAGGAAAATGCTCATATTTTAATTTCCATATTCATGATTACATTGTGCAAAATAAAGAAATCTAAGTTGACATTAGTTGACTACTTCACTCGTTAGTAGAGACTCAATGTTTTTGTTAGCATTCTCTATTCTGGACTCCCTTACAAGCAGCGCTACGAGAGCTACATTTCAGTTTAAAGAAAAAAAATATTTCAAAGACATCACTTAGGAAAGACAAAAGCTATTAGTGAAACAGGGCCAGTACAGCAAACAATGTTTTTTGTAAGTTTAAGTCCTAAAGAACAGTTCTTAATTAAAAAAAATCACTCTGAAGTTGGAGGAAAAAAAAAAAAGACAATTGTTTAGAAAAGATAGTAAGGAAATCAACTCTCACGATGAGAAGACATCTCACTTACTTGGTAATTTCTACACCTCTCTTGCTCATTCACACACCCCCATTGTGAAAGCCAGGTTTACTGGTCAAGGGTGAATCTAACACGGTGCTCCCCTGCTTTACAGAAATTCTCTGGTTCCTCCTGCTCAGCTTCTGCTAATCTGGCTGGTGGCATCAGAATTGTAGTTCTATTTCCTGTGCTGCTTCTTCCTTGTTTCAGCTCCCTGCTGTTTGTTTCTAGGATATTCTCCTCCCTGCTGGGTGTATGTTTTACTCTCCTCAAGAAGAGCCCTGATCACGTTTCTTTTTCTCACACTATCTGATGCCTGCTATGGGAATCTCCCAGCCGGCAGCAAGATCCCAGCGTGTGGAGCATCTGGACAGTTATCATGAACTAACATAATCCCTTCAGCAGCCTGTGTTAACAGGCAGTGATTGGCTGTTTTCACTCCTCCATGCTTTCTTGGATCATAAGAGAAGGATGGGATTGAAAAGAAGCATCTTTTGTGCCTGTAAGTTGGACTAAAGTTAACAGAGGTATAAACAAAAACTCTCTTGAACTAAAAAACAAAAGTTCAGCATGAATAGTCTTCTCTTAAAAACACCTTTATTTACTGTCCATGCTGAAAGGATTGTGCCAAGAGACCTAGAGGTGCCAGGCCCTTTCTCTTCCTCAGATAAGGAGGCCCAGATGAACACATGGCTATGAAAACAACACTTATTTTCAGTGATGAAGTAAAACCAAAAGCGTGGCTTGACAGGAACCCTGTCAGCCAGGGTTCTCTGACACAGCCTGGGGGGCCCATGCCCAGGATAGCTGCAGCCCTGTAGCCAGCACAGCCAGCTTAGCCATGGCCAATGGCTTGGAATGGGGCTGCCAGGCTTTGGAGTAAGTGTGTCATAAGGACAGATCAGCTTTCCAGCTCTGGGAGGTCAAACACATTCCTAGCCTCATTCCCCAAAGCCAGAAGTGATGGGTGGAACACGACTGAAGAACACAACGTACGGAGAAGCAACCCCTGCAACACTCAGTACAGCCAAATGACTGCTGAACTGCATAGACAGATGTCTTCCAGTGTACTTACTGCCAATTCCTACCTCAACCTCATTAACTAATTTTCTGACCTCCGCCCAGAAAGGAACTCATATTCCTTATGGTCCAACACACAACACAGGCTGTCCCTAATTCAGATGTCTTGCTAACTTCCTGCAAGAACGTTGTCCTTGAGTCACAGATGGCCATCCAGCCAACAGAGATGCTTGGACTGAACAGAATTGCTCCTACCATTCCGAACATCCCTGGAGGGGACACAGAGGCATTTCCTCTCATCCCCTTCTGCTGCTTAGGAGGGCAGCTCATGCCTCTGAGCTGCACGGCCCAGCTGCTATGCTTGGGCAATATTTAACCTCATGATCACCAGCCCTCCTCCACCTTCAAATAAAACACAGCAGTCCGCAGCAACGCCAATTCAGTGCTCACTAAGCCAGAGAGGTTTCTATATGCATGTAAGGTCTCTCTTTGCTAGGGAGAGCCTAATATGCTACTTGTTCTGGAAAACTCCCCCAGGCAGCTACATGCTTGTGAAAAAGCTGAGTTGCCTCTGGGGCAATGTGCTCCTAGGCCCTGGATCTGTCTGCAAGTGTGCTTTGGTGGCGGAAGAAAGGCTTGTCACTGATCCCAGTGCAGCTGGCAGGGCTGCAGCTGAGCTGCGAATGAGCTACAAATTAGTCCAACATTTAAATACTTGCTTCAAAAGATAAAAGTCAACTAAGCCTCTCACAGGAGCTCTTCCTGAGGAATGGGAAGTGTCTCTAAGAATAACCATGGCTGCTGTAGAGCAGTCAAGGTTCATGAGAGCCTCCTGACATCACACCAGGAAGGTCTGTGCTGCAATGTGATACTCAAAGAAATAACCTCAATGTTCTGCCAGTGACCACTGCCAGACATCATGGCATCATTCTTGCAGACAGAGCCCTTTGTAACTTACACGTGTGAGCCAGGTCTTCCTGCTTCCTAGTGATACCAAAAAGCCACCTAGAACTGAGGCTACAGGAGCACCTGGTCATCTGTGTGCTTTATTCTTTAACCGTGGTACAGCACCTTACCTTAGAAAAATGAGGCTACAGCATCTGGGTCTGCATGGGTAGCTCTCCCTGTCCCAATGCTAACAGGCAGCATTCAGGTTGATCAGGATTCAGCAGAACAGGAAAAAAAGACCAGGAAAGGCCTGTCAGAAGGAAACAAAACGAGAATGTAATCCATGTAATCCAATCCTCAAGTGACTGTGATTGTTAACTTCATTTTTTAAAAGTTACTACAAAACTAGGCTTAAATAGAAAATATTGAAGTACTGAGTGATAGAAGGCACAAGTTCATCACTGGAACGAACAAGGAATGTAGACATCTTTTGTTCAAACACACAGCTTTTCCTCATACATTTTCTCCTATGTACGAACCTTTTTGATTAATGGCTTTGTGCTTTTGGGACACTGGGAACAATGTTTAAAGAATATGGTTTATATGGCTGAAAACGTTTGTTTTGACTTCCTCTTACTAAGACAGAAATGAAAACTTCTAAGAACGTTTCAGGAATTCTTGCCACACCAAATAACTTGTTCCAGCTCAAGAGGTACCTCTCAAATAGTTTTTTTTTCAGTGTAAACATAATGATGTCATACTGACGGTGGGAAGAGAAAAACTTGGCTGTTTAATTTGGAAGATTGCTAAAAACGATACATTCAGCTCTTCTAGTCTAACAATGCAATGTTTTTATAGTTCACAATACCTAACACCCTCGTTCACATTAAACAAATCATCCTGAGTTCCTGTTGAAATAACACACATCCTATCCTTTCTCTGTGTACGTTGCCACATTTGGAAAGAAAAAATAAATCTGTTCTATAATAAGATCCCGTTTTCATCCAACTGCACATAAAAACACATTTAACAAACACAGAGAAGCAGACTGAAAACCCATGCAGAAGGATGCACAAGAACATCATACATTCTTTAGGTATGCACTAAGTGTATCATGGATGTCTCCAGCCAACATAAATTTATATATATATATTTTTCTTTCAGGGATGCTCTGGTTGCTCCTCCCCTAGTTTTCTTTTCTCACTTTACTTTCCCTTTTTCCTGTCTTCCACCTTCCTTAGCTCTTTCCTCCTCTTCAGTCTGATTTTCTTAACCTTTCATTCCTCTTGGATCCCCTTCCCCCATGTCCTCAGCTTGGCTCACTGTTGTTCTCCAAAGACCCTTATTTTGCTCTCCCTCCTGTAAAGGATGGCAGGTATCTACAGAGCTCAGTTCCTAGTTGGGGCTTCCATGAGCAACACACCTTCTCACCCAAACATCACAGTTTATTTATTACATTTTCTCTCAAAATGGGAACGCTGGTGATTAAAAAAAAATCATCCTTTTAGATTCTTTTCTCTAGAATACTACATAAGCTAGGAAAGCCCTCCTTGTTAGCACTGTATGGGCTACCAGTACATGGCAATGGTGATACAGCAGAACTGGGATCGAAAATCAAATGAACAGTTATAATTTGCATTTGCAAGAGTTCTTCAGTAAGATATAAAATGAAAGACTAAGGACAAGCATGCATTTGAAAATATTGAAAGCAAAAGTTAAGGTTTACAATTTTGAAATATCAAATGTCAAATCTATTAAAGAAATTACATTCAGAAAAAAAAAATTGCTTCATCATTATGAATTAAATTTGCACAATTTTGTCCTTTAAACTATATCAAATCAAAACAGAATATGAGAAACTGCAAGTCATTAACAATGTTGTTAACTACTAGTAAACAATCTCATTTTTAAACAAGACTGAAGGACTTTCTTTAAACATTAGCAAATATGAAAAAAACAGAAATATAAGTTTAGGTAGACTTCCTTGCCATTGTCCTCCACTTCTTTCTACCCATGCCCAGAAGGATCAGTTTGAAGGAGGAAGAGAAGTTTAGTTTTCAAAGCTTACTTAATCATTTCCTTTTCCACTTCCATTGTAATCTTCAGCCTTTTCCTGAGACTGCAAACATCAACAGAACGCTCATAGAACTCATGCAGACTATGGGCTGTAGGGTAATAATTATTTACTAGACACATGGTAGGGCCACAATCTCACTTCCAATGGGTTACCCAATAATGTCAGGAAGATAAAAACCAGAAATATTTATTTCCTAATAAAATACTTATCAGGTAGATGGAAGGAACATTTTGGTTAATGTGCAGAATCTTTCTTTCAAGAGGCTGTGGAAGTACAGACCTGTGCAGCAGTTTTCCACTTCAGCCTATTCCATTTTGAGGGCAGTATACTGGCTTCATAAAAGAGAAGCAAAATGTTTTGCTGGCCAAGGCCTTGGCACGGGAGACTCCTCGAGTATTAGCAGTCACTGATATTGACATCAAGACATTAACATCTTGAAGACAACATGTGCTCTGCAAAATTAAGTGTATAGGTAGGGGAAGATTCAACTGAAAAACAGTTGCTCTGAGAGTGCCATCTGAAAAGGTGCCAGAAGTAAATCACCACTTACCCTACGAAGAACAGAAGCAAGTGCTTGAGCCTGATTGAGATTCCACACAAGGCTCGTGTCATACATTTCATTCAATAAGACAATCAAGATGATTAGGGAGTGTAGGAAAAGCTCATTAATGGCTATAGCAGACATTGAGTCAGCCTTTCATTTATTTCAAGTGCATCCGGATAGTTTTCATTTACTGGATTTTTAATTTAAAGAAGTGAAATTTATGTAGGCAGACACAGGCCCCCGTGTCGTATCACTTCTTGTTCATGCCCAAAAGTTGCCACTAGGTTTACTAAAGTGATACTGGCAAAAACTGACAACAAGTGCTTTACAATCTGCATGTTTCCTTTAGTTAGTTACTTTACTTCAGGTACTTAACATCAGCATAAGAATTTAGCTAGGGATTTTATCCTTAAGATGCAGAAGAGAACCCCAAAGCTATAATTGATGACAATACTCCCGAGTATCCCTTCAGCTTCAAGGACAGACAAATTCTGCATACTAATTACTGAGATTTTGGAAGAAGAGTTACAAAAAGCAAAGAAAATATGATGGGAATGCATGCGATTGGCAACAACTGTGGCTGAGATTGCAAAACAGCACCCTTTAATGAGAACAACGTGGAGTGTGAACTGCTATTCTGCCCATTTGAACCACACAACAGTACTATCTCAGAATTTACAGTTATTAGGAAAGCAGAAAATCCATCTTTTCTATGCAACGCGAGTGGAAACAAAAAAAAATGTGGGGTTTCTCTTTTCATTATATGTAGAACAAGTTTCACTGCATGTGCACTCCAAAACATGCCTAAGCATTTTGTTTTGTTTCTGTAACTGGAGCACAGGCACCACGGTTTCAAACAAGAGCAAGAAGAATGTTGCACAACACTGGAGACATGCAGCAGAGAAACACTGACCAGATTTCCTCCGTCGATGGCAATTTTCTGACCACAGCAATACTACAAAATGGAAATGAAAAATTTCAGTCAAAATCCAGAACCAACATAGCAGGAAGCATATAAGCAGGAAGCATATCTGCTGCGTGCCTAGAGTAGAAGAACACAGAGGAACAGCAGAGTCAGACCCAATGCCACAGCTGGACAGCAAGGCTCAAGAGAACAGTGAGTTTAGAGCGGGCCATAGCACACTGATTCCACCCAACCGAAGAGTAGAGCCAGAGGAGAGCGTATGGGATAGGCTTCCCACTCCATGTCTGTGCACACCTCTGGAGTCCTCCAGACCTTTTACAAACCTCTCCCCAACAAGGGCAACACGCTGCGGGCAGAGCACGAGCCGGCACTGCAGGAAGAGGCACTGAAAGGAGCCACCGCCAACTGAGACAAGATTCTGCATCACAGCCCTGCAGAGGGAAGCCAAGACAGAAGCTGACCGGTAGCACATTTCTTTATCACCTGGGAATATCACAGGCCCTGTATTCTGTGTAATTTGTCTGGGGGAGGAAATAGGAGTAAAGAACCATAAAAATCTGTACAGCACAAGAGGCACGGTAGTATTTTACAGGAGTCACTCCTCTTGGAAGCTCAGTAACTCCTCGTAGTGGAATGGGAGTGTTTTGTTTTTGTTTTTCTTTCCATTAGAGGATGACCTTTGCTCTAAGCACAGCCAACATCCACCAGCTTCCAAGGCTTGTGCTTCCCTAACAGCAGCAGATACCTTCTGCTGCTGCAGACTCCTTATTTAATGAAGCATTCATAAATCAAAAGCAGACAAAACTGATTCAACATTTGGGTGAGAGCTGGGAGCAGCTGAAGAGTGACCTAGTCTGAGTCACTGCCTGATAGAGTTTCAAACAGTTCAATAGGAAATACAGTAGAGTTCATTGTTGCATTACTCCCTGCCTTCCCCTCTGCCCCCCTCCAAAAAGCAAGTAGGAGATTCTTAATTACAAGTGCACTGCTATACAAACATCACTAAATATCAAATGAAAGATATACACAGAAACATATTTCTCTTGGAAATGTACCAAATGAACATCTGGTTGCCTCGTTATCTGGAAAAATCCATCAGAGGATAATGACAGCGCCATTAGATGCACCAATGTAATTAATACTATGTTTCAATGGGCTTAAACATGTAAAGTGCTGAATACTGCTATTAGGTGCATCCACAGATCCTACCTATTTCAGTGAAGAGTGAACCACTGATAACTGGGAAGATAGGCCAGGGAAAGGATGACGCACTGCTGATAAGCATTCAGTGCTAGCTGGAGTCAGACAGCAGGACACAACAGAAGGACAGCTGGTCTGACTACGCTGTATTTAAACCAATGTTTTAAAATCATCAATAACAGCTTTTAAAACTAAACTCTGCAGATGGACACAGGAAAGAAAACAAAACTTCAGGCTGGTGCTGCTGCACAACGTGAAAACTGCTTTATTTCAGCTTTGTTTAGTTTTGTTTTATAAAGCGGACGACTGCCCATATGAAAGTGAACTTCAAGCACAACTGGTGTTCGTGGTGGACTTCAACAAGAAAACAAGATTTTACAGCACTTAGGATGGTCACTGTGTTGGAGGAAGCGTGATCATTGCACAACATATGGCTTTTGCTTTAGAACTGTGGAGTTCTGTTTCACAGTGGAATTATGGCCCCAATACACAAACCCACAATCTCACTAAAAAAATTCACCAGCAAGGAAAATTCATCTGCAGTGAAAATCCTCCCTAAATGA